TCTACATCCCCAAGGGTCCCCCTAATGCCATCTCCTATTTGGGTTTAGGGATTTCTTGGTGCTGGTGGGGGACTTGGATCCTTTCAGGTCGTCCATGTGCTTCCTGTTGTTGTTGATGGTTTTCGCGCTTCGGAGTTCGGGATTCATTCTGTTTCGGTTTAGGGTTTAGGGTTTAGGGTTTAGGGTTAGGGGTTTAGGGTTTAGGGTTTCGGGGCAGTGTTTCGGTTTAGGGTTTAGGGTTCAGGGGTTTAGGGTTTAGGGTTTAGGGTTTAGGGTTTCGGGGCAGAAGGCCATGAGGGCGGCTTCAGGTGTTCGTTATGATCGGGTGCGGCCGATGGGCGAAGACCAAGCTCCTAGGTTGGCTTATCTAAAGGGTGAGCTTCAGAAACCACGGTTTAGGGTTTAGGGTTTAGGGTTTAGGGTTTAGGGTTTAGGGTTTAGGGTGAGCCCTGAACCCTAAAAGGTTCTAGGGGTACGACGTCATTGTTTGGTGTCCTTCGTCCTTACAGCAAGGACCTAGGCAATGACGCGACCCTTATCACCCAACCCTTTGACCCGAAAGCTGCCCCAAAGCCCTCAAAAACCCTCAAATCCTTCCTCGCACCCTAATGGCCCCCTTTTACCATGCAGCCAAAACCCTAAACCCTAAGCCCTAAACCCTAAGCCCTAAACCCTAAACCCTAAACCCTAAACCCTAAACCCTAAGCCCTAAGCCCTAAGCCCTACCCCCTTTGCCATTGCCTCTGCCGGAAGACGGCAGGTCGGCTCGAGGTGTGTTTCTGCATTTAGGGGTCAGGGTTTGGATTTAGGGTTTAGGGTTTATGGAACCAGAGGATGGGCAGACACTGCATCGGATGCCTTTCAGCATAGAGACCGCGAGCAATGTCAGCTGACTTAGAAGTTTGGTAGTGATTCTACGATGCCCTGATTTAAACACAGCCTTGGCACAGCATCTCCCTCATACTGGCCTGGGGCTCAGACCTGCCATGGATCTTTAAAACTTCCAGGGTTCCCTTTAGGGTTCCTGTAAGGATAGCATTGTGCCTTAATGATTAGAGTAGGGTTTAGGGGGGCTCCTTCTTAGAACTTTTGTACAATATACCGCCCCCCAAACCCTATTCTAATTCTTAAGGCCCCAGTTTTCAGGATATCATTGGGTTGCTGTCGGGTCTTCTTAGCGTTCTTCTGGTTGGCTCTTAGGACTTTAACTTTTGGGGGTTCTAGATGAAGTATAATATCTAGGCTACAACTTTTACTTTAGGAGGGGTTCGGAAGTCAGCCAAGTCTTGTTCGACCTCCCTAAACCCTAAACCCTAAACTCTAATGAAGGGATTCAAACCCTAAACCCTAAACCCTAAACCCTAAACCCTAAACCGATTCGACCTGCCGGGACAAAGAGTAGCCGAACTAAGGGCTTAGGCCTACGTAGGGCGTTGAAGGCTCTCGGGTTGACACCTAGCGGTTTTTGCTCTTTAGGGTTTAGGGTTTGGGGGTTAGGGTTTAGGGTTTTAGGGTTTGGGGTTGAAGGTTGAGGGTTTAGGGTTTGGG